CCAGCGTCAACGTACTTGCCCCCCCAAAAAAAACACCTCCGAGTCGATGAAATTGCTTTGCCTTATGTAAGGATACTAGGGCAGGAGGTCAATCCTTCCCTGGCGCTGGGAAGTAATCAATGCCTCTGCTCTGTGGAAAGATATTTTAGATACGGTGGAATGGGACTTTGGATTCATACGACAAACACAGACACATTCACATAGTATTGGATGCATACTAGTATGGCATCTTTGCATTACGACATCTCCACGTATCATTGTACAGGGACGCTGGACCCGATTTCCAGCTGATACTCATCATATCATTGTATAGGGACTCTGGACTGATTTCCAGCAGGTGCAGCTCCCCACCAATAGATGGAGCTTTCAACGCTGGGGCCCACTTAATGGGGATGCTCTTGTCACCTCATCAAGTGGGTTTCCCACATACAAAGTAAAAAAAAAAAGAAAAAAAAAAAAGAAAAAAAAAAAAGAAAGACCAACAATGCACGAGGCGGTACCTACTGCGGCATGGGTTTATCATCGCGTGCGACATGATGATCCGTTTTCCAGATGTTGTGCTGCTGGCTATGTTGCGGAGGATTTAGTTCACAAGGCCATGAGACGGCGGACGATGTGGGAACGTGACGAACAACCTTCCCGTGACACAGCGTCATAGAAAATCAAGGGACGAGTCTCGCCTGGAAGATTGCTGCAGACCACATTACCAGGCTCTATGTCGTGGGACCCGGTCACCTGGTCCGCATCAATCTTCCAGAACCTTGCAGCAAGGAGAGATTACCTGAATATTTCCCAGACCTGAGTCCGGTCCATATCCATTGCTCCCGCTTGCTGAAGAGTACCCGTCGGGTATCTCCTGGAATGCTGGCAAGTTTGGCAAAAACAAAAAATGTTGTATCGTAAATCATGCACCTGGTCATAGAGCCTGGTAACGTGGTCTGCAGCAATCTTCCAGGCGAGATTCCTCCCTTGATTTCTGTGACGCTGTGTCACGGGAAGGTTGTTCATCGCGTCCCGCGTCGTCCGCCGTCTCATGGCCTTTGCCCCCCCCCTCCCTCCCTGTAGCAGTCCTTGATCCTTTTTCTATTTATTTTTTTTTTTTTTGTTTTTTTTTTTTTTAAGAATAGCCCTTGATCCTCGCCGTCATTTCTGGTCAGATTTCTCCCAATTTCCTTGCCATGCTTTCCATTGCTTCGAAAAAATATGCATCCGGAAAATCCATACCCCCTAGTTCCCGGAGTAACATCACAATACATAGAGGGAGTATAGCAGCCAAACTTGTGTTCGCGTTAATTCTGTATAGCGTGCCCATAATTGTTGCAATTTTCTGTTCCTTCGGTGCAAAAGAAGCAACGTGTCGTGTGATCAGGTATCTGGGTTTCCGGGGTTCTTCCCAGATGTTTTCGTCGTTCTTAAACTCATGCATTGAAATGATTTCTGCAGGATTCTCCAAAACAAAAATCTTAGTCTCTAGAAATTCAGCGATGTTCAGACCAAAGTAGGTTCTTTCCATAACAAGACTCTCATGATAACAGGAGTCTATCTTATCCATGATTTTTTCAGTGCTTTTCTTGTGCCCTTCTTTAAAAAAAAACACCCAAAAAAGGTCATCCACATACCTTTTCCCGAAAATCATCTTGGAGTCATTTCCCAAGTTATTCAAAAATCGATTGTCCGCGTAGTACATGCAGACCAGGCAGGCCAATGGTGGGCTAGCTTCCCCCACCCCCCCCCATCGGTATGCCCCTGTTTTGTTTTAAAATTTCACCTGCAGATTTGAAAAACACATTCCGTAGTAGGAAGTCGACCATCCTAATTAGAATATTTATCGGATAGACTTCCATCCACTTTCACCGGCCGATTTGCAGAGGGTGGCACCTTTGCCTCTGGTTCTTACACGTGCCCAGTTCTTCCTTCTTTCTCTTGGGGTCTCGTTAGACACTCCTAAAAGAATCATAAAATTTTTAGGACGAGTCCTAAGGGATTTTTAGGATTTCGTGCGGCATCGTTACACGCAATCCTAAAAATCATCTTTTAGGATTCGGCCTAAAAGGTCTCCCGCGGCCAGTTTTCATATGCATATACGCAGCCGCGTTGCCAATGTCCGTCCATTCCTGGCTGGTGTCCGTGGTACACAATGCGGTGGGCCGTCGGCGGGTGAGGACGGGTCGGTGAAAAGCGCGGTTAGCCAGAAGTTCGAAAGTTTCGAATTTTCGCGGACGCAGGGTGGCGGGGTGGAGGACGGACAGGTGACGCGTGTGACGTAGAAAAGACGGCGCTGGTGAACCCTTCGGCGTGGGTATCCATCTTCCGAGTCTGCGCGAGTTGTGACCAGCAGGCGCATCTTCGGCGGCGGCGCATCTTCACCTCCGGCATACGTACTCTCATGTGGAAGCGTAGAGCAGCGGGCACATCTTCGGCTCCGGCGTGCGTACTCTCCTGTGGCAGCGTAGAGCAGGGGGCGCATCTTCGGCTCCGGCGTGCGTGGTCTCCTGCGGCAGGGTTGAGCCGCGGGCGCATCTTCGGTGGTTGTGGCAGGTGTTACGCTGTAGAGGCGGAACGATTATCAGAGATGGACGTTCGCGGCTGCGGGCACGGTCTACGTGAAGAAGAGATCGACGCGGTGGTGATGGTAATGACTGCCATCATCCTGAACATGATGAACGGCATGTCATCCTCCTCCCGCAACATGTGTTTGCAGCTGCGTAAACGAAGAGCGCTGTTGCAGTCTTGCAGAGCGTTGTCAAAGTGTCGGATTGCGTGGCGACGTGCGAAGCAGTCGTGCGGTTGTGTTCCGCGCCGTCGTCTGGCGTTTTCCCGCGGCAGACCCCGCATCGGTGGATTAAACGACGGACTGGCGGAACATGGGAGGCCCTTCGGCTTCGTGATAATGCCACTGAGGACTACTACCAACAAAAGTTGCGCATGTCGAGGGCCATGTTCACCCAGATCATAGTCGCGTGCACCGCGTACGTGGAGAAGAAGGTTACGCACTATAGAATGCCATTGCCAGTGGAGCAGGTGATCGCTTTCACGTTGTACAGGTGGGCGTCCGGAGAGACGTACGATAGCGGCACGTCAGCCTTCGGCATCGGCAGGGCAACTGGACTGCAGGCCGTCCGCGACGTCACTTTGGAGCTGCTCAAGGCGTACCCCGATGCGATCAACTTGGCCAGTGGGCCGGAGACGTGCGCAGATTCTCCGCGCTTTCCGTGAGAAGAGTTTCCCAAACTGCTTTGGCACAATCGACTGTACACACATCTACATTGACAAGCCCGTCGACGCACCTTCGGACAACTACTACGACCGGAAACAGAAGTTCTCCGTCCAAGCGTAGGTGGTGGTGGATTTGGGTCTGTGTATCCTTGACGTCCACGTGGGATACCCACAAAGTGTGCACGGCGTCCGTGTCTTGCACAATTCCCATCTGTGGAGGCATGCAGAAAGTGGCAAGCTGTTCGACGCACCTCTGGAGAATCTGTCACACGGTGTCGTCACACAAGGTTACCTGTTGGGTGACAATTGTTATCCAGTTGCCTGTCCATGGATCGTCCAACCGTAAGGAGGAATCGATCAACGTCCTGATGAGGAGCGTTTCGGCAAGGCAGCTGGACTGCAGGCCGTCCGCGACGTCACTTCGGAGCTGCTCAAGGCGTACCCCGATGCGATCAAGTGGCCAGTGGGCCGAAGACGTGCGCAGATTCTGCGCGCTTTCCGTGAGAAGGGTTTCCCAAACTGCTTCGGCGCAATCGACTGTACACACATCTACATTGACAAGCCCGCCAGCGCACCTTCGGACAACTACTACGACCGGAAACATAAGTTTTCCGTCCAAGTGCAGGTGGTGGTGGATTTGGATCTGTGTATCCTTGACGTCCACGTGGGATACCCGGGACGTGTGCACGACGTCCGTGTCTTGCACAATTCCCATTTGTGGAAGCGTGCAGAAAGTGGTGAGCTGTTCGACGCACCTCCGGAGAATCTGTCGCACGGTGTCGTCACACAAGGTTACCTGCTGGGCGACAATGGTTATCCAGTTGCTTGTCCATGGATCGTCCAATCGTACGGAGGAATCGATCAATGTACTGACGAGAAGCGTTTTGACACGTTGCAGAAGGTGGCGCGGGGGTGTGTGGAGAGGGCTTTTGGACGACTGATGTGCATGTGGCGTCCGTTCTTGCGCACCCACAAGACGAACCTTGAGACCTTGCCACAACAATTCGCGGTCGTGTGCACTCTCCACAACATCCTCCAAGACGTGGGGATCGACTTCGACGAGAACCTTCTGTGAGAGGTCGATGCGAACGGCGTTCGGCGTAGAGTAGAGTTGGGAATTGTGGGGAACGGCGTGGGCGGACGGCAATGGAGCACGAATGTGGACGGGGACTTGTTGCGGGATGCTCTCCGAGACCGCCTAGCTTTGATGTAGGACCTGTCTCTTATACACATCTAGATGTGTATAAGAGACAGGTCTGTAGTCGTCATGCGCGAAGTTGCCGGGTCGTCTGTTTCGCCGCATGGTTTTCGTCAATCTCTGTGTGTTGTATTCGTCGTGTAGATGGTTGCCTGGCCTTTGGCTGGGTTAAAGTGCCGTGCATTTGGTGTGGTTTGTACAGTCTGTCTCTTATACACATCTAGATGTGTATAAGAGACAGGTCTGTAGTCGTCATGCGCGAAGTTGCCGGGTCGTCTGTTTCGCCGCATGGTTTTCGTCAATCTCTGTGTGTTGTATTCGTCGTGTAGATGGTTGCCTGGCCTTTGGCTGGGTTAAAGTGCCGTGCATTTGGTGTGGTTTGTACAGTTGTGCGAATGTTGAATATTGGAAGAACCTTTTTTTTTTGTGTATTTCTATAATCCATTGGTCATGAATGGTTTGGTAACTTTGGTGTGGTGGGATGGCTTGTATACCTTCGCTCCCCGTGGTACATGCGGAGATTGGCAGACAATGATCACAAGAAAGTGAATGCAAATCGTTGTTGTGGTTGCTTGCCCCTCCCCGGAGCGAAATGGCCTTTTTGTTGTTCATTTTGAAAAGTGATCTATGGCGAAAGACATCCTCATTTCATTCTTTTTGCCTTGCTATGTGGGTGTGCATAGATGCAAAACATTTCAAATATTTTGCTCATCCAGTGTGTGACGTTCATATATGAAATCTTGGCATGCATTCACATCAAGTGACGACAAAAAGTTTAACACAAAAGCAAAACCAATATGACGCATCACAATTATGTCCCACACCAGAGATGACAAAATTGTTTAATGTGGCTTGGCGATTACAGGCTTTGCAAACTCATCGCAAAACAACGTCAAGAGATCGACCCTTCGCTGCGAAATCCGAAAACACAGAAACTAACATGCCTGCGAGTAAGGACGTTCCCCCGTTCGTACTTTCCCCAATATGTACCGTTCGAGCTATCCTGAAAACAATAGGGAAAAAAACTTAAAATATTTTTTTTACCAGAAACTGACTTAACAATGACACGATTCGGGCCACCTTGCCGAGCACATTCACACCGGCGACCACTGTCGCACTCGCAAGAAAAACTAGTTGGAGAACAAAGGTCATGCGCGCAAAGTGATGGCGGGCGAGAGCACGGCCTCTGCGAGTTTCGGTATCGTCGCCACGTGAACGACACCATCATGGATCGACTGCCGCGTCATCATCGTCGTCATCATCGTCGTGATCATGGCAGTTAGCTTCACCATCGTTCTCGCGATGACCATCATCATCATCATCATCATCATCATCGTGGTGTTCGTCATTATCATCATCATCGTCTTCATCATCATCATCATCATCACATCATCACCATCAGCACCGTCATCATCATCATCGTCATTATCATCATCATCATCATCATCATCACCATCATCATCACCATCATCACCATCATCACCATCATCATCATCATCATTATCACTGAGTAACCGTATGAACACCGTGAACGCGCGTTCATGTTCAAACGCGCGCGCTCATACCCCCCTGCCCCGTGTTCAATCGCGTTCAAACGCGCTACGCGCGCGCGCATGCGAAAAAATTGAATGCAGTTCCGCGGGGCGCGCGCGCGCGACGGGCGCTACGGGGTGGTGGTCCGAGTTCAACAGAACCCCAGAGTGCGAAAACCGCCCCCCGGGGACCGCCCGATAGCCCCCCCCGCCCCACGGCCCCCTGGCCGCCCCACCCCCAAAACCGCCACATGCCAAGCCCCACCCCCCCCCCCCCCCCCCCCGGAGGGCCACCCACTCCCCCCCCCCCCCCTCCGACCGTGCCTCTACGCCACCCGAGGACCTTTTTTTTTTTTTATCCCCGCCCACAAATACAACCCCCCAAACCACGCCACCCATTTACACACACACACACACGAACACACACACACATTCACACACGCACATGTACACACAAATTCACACCGTCGCACACACACGGGCACTTTTTTTTTTTTTCGCCAACACGTACAACCCCCCCAAACTGCGCCACCCATTTACACACACACAAAATCACATTCACACAGACACACAAACTGCGACCTTTCGTTCATTGTTTTTCCAAAATATCTGTTTTCTTTAAAAAAAAATTCGCAA